TTCCAAAGAAGGAAAAAAATAGTAAAATTCTGCTTGTGTTTGAAGGGCATAGTATTGTTTTACTTTCACTAACAACATAGCATATTATACTATTCACAACATGGTTGGGAAAATATTCTTGTTGGTATCAAGTAATCTGTTGCTGATGTCACTGGAATTATGTTGCAGGGAACAATTATTCCCTAAGATGCTTTTAATGTTTAATAAATAACAAAAACAATGGGTGAAGGATAGTTTCATTAGAGATGTTGGGAAGGCCAGCCAATAAGTTTCTCTGGAATTAATACAATTATTTTCAAATGGAAACTTTAAATCACATTGTTAAAGGTAATGGTGGAAGGTTAGAGTGTTACATCTTCCCAGAAACAGAAAATTCTTAAATAAATGCTGAGAAAATTAATTTTATTACATTTCCCTGTTAAATGGGGTGGTGATGGTGGTGGTGTCAGATCCTTGCAATAATTGAGTAATGACAATATAGAACATTTCATAGAGCAGTGGTCCCCAGTTTTCTGGCTCTGCAGACCAGCGGTCTGGGGCGGAGAGGGGGTGGTTTTGCATGCGTGCACCTGGCACCTGCGCAGCCTCGTTCCCAATGGGCTGCAGCTCAGCACCGGGCCATGGCATGGAGGTTGGGGACCCCTGTAATAGAGGACAATCTTTGATTAGGAAATTTCCTATATAGATAGTTCTTGACTTACAATTGGGATTGAACTGTCAGTTGTTGAGTGAAGCAGTCATGGGTTTGCCATACAATGTCATGTGACTGCCCATGTGATTGCTTCACTCAATGACTGCAATTCCAGCACTCCCAATCTTGTGTGTTATTAAGCAGATGAAACTCGATGTAAGGATCAAGGAGATGTGTCAGGAGTGGTGGGAAGCACCACCCATGATCTGAAAATCTTCCCTGCCAAAATCTAAGTAGGATTTTTAGTCTCTCAATGGAGAGTCGCTCATGTGGTCTGCACCAAGTGCATCAGGGCCTCCCCCACCTCCCTGAAGCACCCTGCACTCCTTTCCTTAATACGCTGCATCTCTGTTCTCCGCTTGGGTTTTGGCTTCCTCTTGTCTCTGAGGGCTGCTTTTCAGGATTTGAGCTGTATTTCTGTACCCTTTTAAAGGAGATCAGATACCCTCCACGCACAGAAGGGAACTCCTTTAACAAGGTGCAGGAATGGAGCTCAAATCTTCAGGAACTGATCTCTAATTCTGTACCCCACCGAAGGCATTCAGCTCCCTTTGGCAGGCAGCTCTTTCAGCCAGCCCTCACACATGAGAGGGAATCGTCTTGACAAGAGGCAGAAGCTTGCAATCTTCTCTGCTGGCTACCACATTCATTTTCTGGGAAGCCAGCAGAGAAGTTTACAAAGGACAATCATGTCATTGCAGGGCGCTTGGCAGCTAGTTGTGAGTGCCAATAGGTTGCCAAGCACCAAGATCTTGATCATGTGACTGTGTAATATTTAGAGACATCTAGAAGTGCTTTATGTGCTGTAAAGCACTCTTTCCAAGGTTGTTGAAATTTTGACCATTGTTAAATGAACAGTCAAGGACAACCTGTACTGAAGTGGTGGTTCTGTCCAAATGTAGAAGAAAAAAATCAGAAGGAACAAGATGAACCTTGAAGACATGTATCAGCACCGTAGTTTCCATCTAACCTACCAGATCTCCTTTGTCATAAGCATCTCAAATGTATGAATTATAGTCCAGTTTTTGACATTTGCATCTAGGCTAATAATATATTTAAAATATTTATGCAAATCTATATTCAAACTGTTGATTTTGGTGGATGCTTAAGTGAGGTGGTGTGTGCTTCTGTGTGTGTCTTCAAGCTAGTCTTGAGTCCTGACAATTAACACATTCAAGTCCATGCAGTTTTCTTTGCAATACTTGTGAGAAATTGCTTCCTTTGGCCTTCTTCCTCAGATTGAGAGCTAGTTTCATGCCTAAGACAGGGCTAGAACGGCCAGTCTCCCAGTTGCACAAAAATGGCTCTTGCTTAAATGTTCACTCTTCTCCAAAGGGACCTCAGTCCTAAGCATTGATAGACAAAAGCAAATGAAGCAGATTTATAAGGAACTGGTAGATATCCCAAGTCCTATCTTAAAAACTGCATTGACAATTAATTTATTAATTAACCAAGCTAACTTCAAAAGATAAAATTTTCTTCTTTTGCAATTTTTGGATGCAAATAAGGTATTGAGAATAGCAGGAGCAGAAAAGTTTTAAAACATCCTTATTCTGACATGTTAATAACTGTTTGTTAAAAAGTTAATCACAATGCTTATAAAATGAATTTAAAGGAAAAGAAGACAAAATCTGCTTTATTCCTCATGGAAATGAACTAATAAATGCTTGACATGTGACAACTCAGTCTGATTTCACAGCAGGGTCTTTAATTGAAAGTTCTAACTATCCCATTATGTCTTTATATATTTTTTCTAGTCTGAATTTTTTTCAAGTGTTTTTCAATAAGAAAATGCATTCATTGAATATGTTTTGAATATGTGTATTTATTTCATGCTTCTCCGTGTGTGTGTGTGTGTGTGTGTGTGTGTGTGTGTGTGTGTGTTTGAGTATGTGGACCATATAGTTTGATTTTTGATGTGTGTTCATTTCTTAATTTCATCAAGTTTGAATTATTTGATCTTTTCATGTGTCCTTAACCATGCCCTTTATTTATTTAACTTCATTTATAGAATAGCTAATGCTCAGTCTTTTACAAATAGTCATATTCAAGAAAAATTCACATATTTAAAACTTAAATAATCAAAACAAGAATGTAAAAATAAGCCTGCATTATTAAAATGATAAAAACTTGTACAGAACGATCACTTTTAATTTTGGCTATTATATAATTAGTAAAAATAAAAGCACATTTTTTTCTTCTTCCTTGTGGTACAATTACAGAATGTTGGGTGTAAACCAGGGAATTGCATTTGAACATCCAGATGTTAAAGAACAACTTCCAGCAGACCCAGCATGGTCAACAGAATAAAGCTGGACATCGTCATCCACATCTGGATATTACAAGGTCTGTAACTTCCTACAAAATTCATACTGTTTAATAATGTGAAATATTTTACTTGCTTTAATGTATGTTAAGCCAACCCTATACTATTGGTTCCCATCAGATTCCTTCCCCAGTGTTCTTCCCTAGTCCACCCTTGCATCCTTGATGAACAATGAGGTTTATAGAACTAAAAAAAAAAAAAAGATCATTTTGAGGAAGGACACAAATACTATAAAAGATGGTCAATGGCTAATAGTTAATGAGAACATGGTTCCTGAAAGTACCATTGGAGGATCAGTGGCAGCAACAAGTCTACAGAAAAGCAGCAGTAACACCTAAGCCCACAAGGCTGGTGTGATTTCAGCTCTGCTCATACTTTAAATTGATGCCTTCAAGTCAGTTTTGATTCCTGGTCCCTGCCTGGACAAATGCCTGGACAATATTTTAGGAAGTGACTTTCCATGTCCTTCTTCCTAGGGCTGAGAGAAAGTTACCCAGCTGGCTTTGAGCTTAAGGTAGGACTTGAACTAGTCTAGTGTCTAGTCTGATGTGTTGACCGTTACACCATCTGGCTCCACTACATCCAACTGCACTAGCATGATATATAAGGTGGCTGATTGCCACCAAGCAGAAAGGAAGGGGAAGAAAAGGTCTCAAGAGGGACCTCGGAGTCCTAGTAGACAATCACTTAAATATGAGCCAGCAGTGTGCTGCAGCTGCCAAAAAGGCCAACACAGTGCTAGGCTGCATTAACAGAGGGATAGAATCAAGATCACGTGAAGTATTAATACCACTCTTCAATGCCTTGGTAAGGCCACACTTGGAATACTGCATCCAGTTTTGGTCACCACGATGTAAAAAAGATGTTGAGACTCTAGAAAGAGTACAGAGAAGAGCAACAAAGATGATTAGGGGACTGGAGGCTAAAACATATAAGGAACGGTTGCTAGAATTGGGTATGTCTAGTTTAACGAAGAGAAGGACAAGGGGGGACATGATAGCAGTATTCCAATATCTCAGGGGCTGCCATAAAGAAAAGGGAATCAAGCTATTTTCCAAAGCACCTGAAGGCAGGACAAGAAGCAACGGGTGGAAATTAATCAAAGAGAAAAGCAATCTAGAACTAAGGAGAAACTTCTTGACAGTGAGAACAATCAATCAGCGGAACAGCTTGCCTCCAGAAGCAGTAAATGCTCCAACACTGGAAGTTTTTAAGAAGAGACTGGACAGCCATTTGTCTGAAATGGTGTAGGGTTTCCTGCCCGAGCAGGGGGTTGGACTAGATGACCTCCAAGGTCCCTTCCAACTTTACTACTATTATTATTATAAGATACTTGGTTTGAAGGGAGAAGAAACCATGTACAGTTTATTTTGAAACTTAACATTTGTCCAACAATATTTTTGTGCATTAAAATAATAGTCTGATAAACTTACTCCGTCATGTCACTAGCTAGGCCTAGCTATCATGACTTTCTAACCTAAGCTAAAACGTGAGATTTTCTGTTTTGCTCTGAAAAGAGGAAATCCTCAATAAAGTTGCCACCTGTTTGCTTCTCTCAGTCCTTCCTCCTGCCCCATGAATATTCTCCTGTTACATCAGGAAAATATTCTTGGCAAAGGGCTGGGATTGTCAGAAAGTTAAAAAAAAAAAAAAAGGTGGACTATAAGATGGAGAGCAATGGGCTATCTTGCTGCAAGACAAGCCCATTAGATGTTGTTGAGGCAGAAAAGCAGCGGGAGGAAACACTGAGAGAAGCAAACAGGTGGCAATTGGTTTCACTGGAAACTGCATATTTATCTTACTACCTGGATGTTCTTTAGATATTTCTCCTTTCTTTTCCCAACACAATCTGTGAGCCAAGAAAGATCCTATGTGGATATGCTGTTCATCTTATATTTCAGGTCGGGATGTAGAATCCACTTTTGTCTTCCAAATGGTTTTTGAGTCTGAAGCTGTCAGAATCCTTGACCTTGGATAAGTACTTTGCTGTGTGTGAAATCGTGGCAGCCTGCCCTTTCAAGGTTGCTTAATTATTTTTCTTTTGTGACTTGCTGTGCCATTCAGATTATACTTAGCAACAGAGGGAAAGGAAACAAGGCTTCACAGCAGATTGTATTACCAATTAATTGAACGTCCTGTGAAATAAACATTGTGGCTCGGATGGGATTAGAACGTGAGGTGAGTCACAAGTTTGGCTAATTGTTGTTGTTAAGGAGGGGTAAGAGAAATGCAAAAGACAGGAAACTCTATTGTGGGGATTCTGTGTGGCATAAGCATGGGTAAGGGGACAAACGTATATTCCAGAGTTTGGAACAAAGAGGGGGTGATCTTCCTATCTGCATATATCCCCAGGAGTAATTTGCAAATACATTTTTATCTCTAGATCTACCTATGATCATACTGTTCATTTCTTGGATATCTCCCCCCCCTCTCTTTCTCTCTCTTTCTCTTAGTCTCAGATTACATCAGCCATTCCAGTATTACTTTTCAGTGGGAAACTGGAATCAGAGTGCTTCTGTGGCTGTTACTGTTTTTTACTACATTTTCCCCCCCCCGTCCTGCCTTCCATTTTGAAAAAGCCAAGTGGGAGTAAGTCCCTCATGATGACTTCCCCTGGGATTTAATGAATACATAGAAAGCCAGTGATATTGCAGGTCATTGGAGAGGGGATTATATAACGGAAAACAAAAAGTTCACTAATGCTCTTCAGCCAGTTCCTCATGAAATGAATGCAAGCATATTGTATTTGTCTCATGAGAATGCTAGTAAAGCTATCTTCTTCCTTTTTCAGAGAGAGAAAGAAAGAAAATTCCTCAGAATAAGAATTGGTAGGGAAACATGTAGAGCACGGGTGTCAAACCCGCCATGTCATGTGACATGTTGCAGCGTATTGTGACTTTTTTCGTGTTGCCGGAGCTGGGGTGGGCTCAGCATCCATATGATGCAACCGGCCTGTAGGCCGGCAGTATGACACCCCTGATGTAGAGGGTTTTGTGTTGTTGTTTTGCATAGCACTATTCAAACATACCAGGTTTTTTTTTTTTTTTTGAGGAAAAGTATAGGATACCTCTTTTCTTTTCCATTGAAAAGAGATAGAATCCTACTTGGAACATGAAATCCTGTGTAAAGAAAATAATTCCTCCTGTTAGAAGCCACAGTCTATGCAGTTCTTTTACATTAACCCTGCCACTCCCAAAAATGCAGGCTAGAGAAAAAACTTATCATTCATTCTGAGTCTCCAGAGAACCATTCCCAATCTGTTTTCATGAGATCTCTTGTCAGTTCTGCAGCTCTGGAAAAAAAGGAACAACAACAATAACACAACCAATCCAGTCACCTTTCATCACTTAATGATGAAACTCCATTAAGCAAAAGAGGATAGGAGAGGACTGTATTCTGATATTGACAAGTCTAACCACCAATGAAAATGATGCTTGTAATCAAACCACCAATAGTCAAGGGATGTAGAAAGCATGGGGACTAAGATTAATCCTTATTTTGCTATATCTTTATCATCTGTTGAATTATTTCATGAGCTATGTTACTTATCTGACTTGGTCTAATGGCTGATTTATTTTATGGAAAAGACCAGGAACTTAATGTTTAATTCAACACATCACAACCAATCCCACTGATTTAAGAAAACCACACTCATTCCTTGGAATCATGCGTATTCAGCCAGACTCCTTAGCACATCTGTCTAAACTTCTTCATTGTACAAAATAATGTCATTACTGATATCAAAATATCTATTCCCAAAACAAAGCTATAGACACACTTTTTTAAAGAAAAAAGACCAAGAGATTTTGAATTGACAAAATTTGAAAATGTTTACTTTGATTTCTACTATGGCATTCAGTATTCTTCCCCTCTCATAACATTTAAGTTTGCTTGCAAATATTATTTGGTTCTACTGAACATCAAAAAAGTTACTGCTAGTTCTCTTCTTCCTATGCTAGATTGGGAGAATATAACTTGATTTTTTTCTGAATATCTTTTCAATTCAGGGCATTGAATTGGATTAGACTAGCTCAGAATGAACTGATATGATAAATAAAACTATTTTCAGAGACCCTAAAACAGATAAATTACCCCCACAATCCCAATTCATTTTTTAATAGCTCTATTCTTTCGCCTTTAATGTATTTGTTTAATCTGAAGGCACTAGGAAATAATAAGCTCTCATACAATCCCAGGTTGTGTTCAAAAATATCTCAACTGGCCTTAGCAAAGGAAGCATTTTACAGAAGAGAAACAGAGGCAAAGAATAGCAGCTAATATATTAGGATTTATTAATACAGGAAGATGGAGTCAAGAGGACAACTGGCTGCAGAAGAACACTGCTTTCAATGGTTCTCATATACTGTACACAAAAGAAAAATTTGATATAGACAAGGGGGTACTAAATTAAAAACATAAAATAGAATTTTAAGAGTTATGTACAAATGATGAACATTTAATTGCAAAAATGCATAAGCTTTTATCAAGATTTGAAAGTGAAGAGGAACAAATTAAGTATTTGTATGATAAAATGGGCTACCAGTTTTGGCTATTGTACACAGATGCATACATGGGAAAGAATGTGGCTAAATAGGATGCAAATTATATCATGTTATAATTCAAGATATTTTTTATAAATTAATGTATCAGTGGTACATTTCACCAGAGAAATTATCCAAAATATATGAATGGATCTCAAGTCAATGCTGGGAATGTGAAAAACATGATGGGACATTATGAGAAAGCCAAGAAATTTTGGTTACAGATGTATACTGTTGTGTCCTGAGCCTGCAAAGGCAGGCTTGGGACGTTGCAATGGTCCTGGGCAGTTGCAAGCTGCCCGGGACCAGACTGGCTGGCGCCAGCGCTCGCGCGCATGCACGAGGCGCGCAGCACGCCTAAATATTGCTTTTTGGCCCGGGGATCGTCTTTAAGAGAGGCTGAGAGGTTTGTTCTGCTCAGAGTTGTAACGGGGGCTACTGAAGACAATAAAGAGTTTCTGAAACCACAGAATGTCTCGCACCGTCATTGCCATTAATCGAGGACTCAACACTGGCGACGAGGATGGTATTGCCTTACAATTGCACAAAAGATTGCAAGCTTACCCTGGAGTCCTGAGACAGCGAGGAAACGGCGTTAAATTCAGCAACTGCCTGCCAATACAGCTTCGTTGGAGTTAAGCTGGCTGATAGACGCTTCCTGCTTTACTGAAGATGGCAAAGATAGGGAAACTTTCTGAGTTTGATGTTACACATCCAGAAAGATGGGAATCTTATGTGGCCTGATCAGAGAATTATTTCAGAGTAAATCAAGTGAGAGAAGAGGGCTTAAAGGCCGCCACCCTGCTGTGTGTTTGTGGTCAAGATGCATTTGAAATTGCTGAAAACTTAGTAGCCCCTGCATCTCTTGAATCTGTTACCTACACAGATTTAAAGAAATTATTAAAAGAGCATTTTCAGCCCACGTTGTCTGTTATTGCATGGAGACATACTTTTGAACAGAGGGATCAACAGGCTGGTGAGTCAGCTAAAGAGTACATTGCTGCATTAAGAAGAGCAGCTAAACATTGTGAGTTTAAAGACTTAGAGGAAAGACTGAGAGACAGATTTGTATGTGGGCTGAGAAACAGAGATGTGCAGCAAAGACTTTTTGCTAAAGAGGATATATCGTTCCAAGATGCCTTGAGAGAGGTTACTGCAGAAGAGGCAGCAAGTGGGGCAATCAAGAATATGAGGCCTATCAGAAGTACTCCAGAAACTGTTTTCGTGCACCACGAGGGAGTCCAAGGAAGCTCGGAAGAGGAACCTGGTGAAGAAGTAGATCATCTCTACCCAACCAAAGAAGGGAAGCAGACAGAAGGCAAAGAAAAGGCTTCACCTGTACCCAAGTGCTTCGGGTGTGGAGATCGCCACAAGAGGACCGACTGCAAGTTCCGTTCTGCAATCTGTAGAGCATGTGGGAAGCAAGGCCACATAGCAGCTGTGTGTCTGGGCCGTCAGAAGGTACAACCCCGAGAAGAATTGCGCCTGAAAGGTACCAGGGTCCCCAGCCAAAACAGGGTGGGTTTCTGTGCTTCACGAAGACGCATTTATAGGACAGGCACACACAAGCCACTCAAAAAGAAACTGTCACTTAAGGTGAAGTTGCAAGGGGTTCCATTGGTCATGGAACTAGACACTGGGTCTGCACTTTCAATCATCTCCATTCACATATTCAGAAAGATTTGTTCTGGTAGTGGTTTTCAGGCCAAGCTTAGGCCCTCTAATATAGTGCTAACAGACTTTCAAAACTCCAGAGTGTGTGTTAAGGGGGAGGCCATTAACACATTAGATGTATTGATAGTGGGGGGTGAGCGCACGAGTCTCATAGGACTCGATTGGTTTGAGGCCTTGGGAATACAAGTTACAGGGCTCAATAGCATGCAAACAGTAGATTTACAGGAAATCTGCAAAAAATTTGCAGATGTTTTCAGCCCACAGCTGGGTGCATACAAAGGGCCCCCAGTCTCTTTGAAGTTAGACCCCACTGTCACTCCTATCAGAGTAAAGGCAAGAAGGGTACCTTTTGCTTTAAAAGGGAAAATTGATGCTGAATTGGACAAATTAATTCAGCAAGGAATCTTAGAACCTGTTGACTCCAGTCCTTGGGAAACTCCCATAGTCATGCCTCTTAAGGCTAATGGGGACATTCGCATCTGTGCAGATTACAAATGCACTCTCAATAAGGCATTGCAACAACATGCCTATCCTGTACCTGTAGTCAGCCATATCCCTTTGCGTGTTTTTGCAAAGCTTGACCTAGCACAGGCTTATCAACAGCTGCTTGTTGATGAAGCTGCTGCTGTAGCACAAACCATTGTAACTCATAGGGGGGCATTCAAAGTCAAGAGACTACAATTTGGAGTAAACGTGGCTCCTGGAATTTTCCAAAGTGTAATGGAAAATACTTTGAGGAGTATACCAGGGGTTTGCCCCTATTTTGATGATGTCTTAATTGCTGGAGACTCCACCCAAAATCTAGCTGAGAGATTGAGGGCTGTCCTGCTGCGGTTCCAGAAAACAGGACTCAAGCTTAAAAAGGACAAATGTAAAATTGGGGTGCCTTCTACAGATTTCCTGGGATTCAAAATTGATGCCAATGGGATTCATCCTGCTGAGTCCAAATTAAAGCTATCATGC